ATCTGCCCAATGGGATTCAGATTTTTGTGTTACCCAGGGATGTGGGAGGATGAAGTGAGGGCGCGAAGAGAATCACATGAATGTAAGGGATTATTCTCCGGGTCGGGGAGGAGACAGGGTGGAAGCATCTCTTCTACCCTAGCCAAGCCCACAGGGGTGCAAAGGAAGTGGAGGGAGGAGCTGAGGACCACCCAAGTGAGCACACAGCCCATCTGCAGGACAGGAGCATGTTGTCAGCAGCTGGGAGGCCCAGCCAGAGCTGGTAGGGCAGCCACCCAGGCTGCTTGGAGAATCTGGACATTAAAAGGATTCCTCTCACTGCTCTCTTAGTGCAGCTCCAGCCCTGTCACTTCCCCAAGCCCCCATTTTCACCCTCCCACCCCCTCAACACATACACACATATCTCAGAGGAATGCACTGCACTTGCCCCTCTTCACCCATCCTATCACCAGAGCCACGCAGGGCTTTCACAAGGTAAACCCAATCATATCTGTGCCTGCTCAGCACCTTCCAGCAGCTTCTCAGGATCTGAGAACAAACCAGTCCCCTTACATTAGTGGATAAGGCACGATCCCAGGCCTCACCTTTAAGAGTCTGGCCTCAGAGAGAATCTGCCTTAAGTAGAATTCTGACTCTTCTCCTCATTCATTCATTCATTCATTTATTCATTCATTCAAAATTGTTTATTAAGCACCTACTGTGGGAGCCAGGCACTGTTCTAGACATTTGGGAGACATCAGTGAAGAAATGAATGAAAGATTCCTGCCCTCAAGGAGCCTCTATTTTAGCAGAGGGAGATTAACAACAACCATAAGTAAATTATATGGCAAGCTGGGAGGTGACAAAAGTTATGATGAAAAGAAAGAAAAAGAAAAACTAGAGCAGAGGAAGTTGATCAGGAGTAGCAGGAGGGGCAGAAGTTGCATTTTAAACATGGTGGTCAGGGCAGGCTCCAGAGAAGGTGTCATTTAAGAAAAGACTGGGCCAGGCGCGGTGGCTCATGCCTGTAATCTCAGCACTTCGGGAGGCTGAGGTAAGCAAATCACCTGAGGTCAGGAGTTTGAGACCAGCCTGGCCAACATGGTGAGACCCCTGTCTTTACTAAAAAAATATAAAAATTAGCTGAGCATGGTGGCACACACCTGTAATCCCAGCTATTTGGGAGGCTGAGG